GGCCTGAGTCAGGGAGGTGCCATGTGGCTGGGAGGGGCTCTAGAGTGCAAGCATGAGGAAGGGATGAGGAGGGACGTTCTGTAGGGAACCACACAGGTCAGGTCTCTGCTGGAGGAGGGGGCTGTGACCTGGGCCTGGGTCAGGTCTCTGCTGGTGGACGGGGCTGTGACCTGGGTCTAGGTCAGGTCTCTGCTGCTGGTGGAGGGGGCTGTGACCTGGGTCCGGGTCAGGTCTCTGTTGGTAGAGGGGGCTGTGACTGGGCCTAACGCCCCACTGTAGAACTGCTCTGTATGGGGCAGCAGGTGCCTCCTGCCGGGCATGAGCTGAGGGTGCTGCCGTGCTGGGTCAGTATTCATTGAGCCGTGGGGCACCTGTCCACCCAGGTACTGAGCACCTGGGCGCTGGGCCTCATGGCGGCCAGTGCTCTCCTCCTGGGAACAGGAGGACACTGGAAACTAGTTAGGGTGTGAGAGGCTCCAGGTTACGTTGCCCTCAGAGGAGTGTCGTCTCAGGAGCCTGGAAATGTGTGTTAAAAATCCGACTTCCCAGAAAGTTAGAGGTGTTGGTTAGGTCTGCGAGGCCTTCCTGGGAGTGTGACTTCTGAACGGGCAGTGGGCAGAACAAGAGTTTGGGGTTCATGCCGCTTCCCTCTGGCATGATGTGCCCAGTGCCTCGCCCTGCGCGGGCCGTGGCATGTTTGTCAAGTGTCCGCTGGGCAGTAAGACAGGCTGGGAAAGCTGGGGGAGGGGCTCCTTCCCGAGAAGAAGGTTTGCCGATGGCTGCTTCTGAGCTGCGGGAGCTGGGGGCGCTGTGTCCACTCTGCTGGCTCCGTCCGAGGAGTCGCACGGAATTCGGCGCGTAGTTGTAGCTCAGCAAATGTTTGGGACGAATGACTTAATTTCATATTTTTGTCCATTCTATTCATTGTGTGTGTGTGTGTGTGGGGGGGGTGGGTATGTTACTTTCCCGTGGCTCCTTCAGCAAGGTCCTGCAAGCTAACTAACTCGGAGCCATGGAGGTCGATTCTCCGGCAAGTCTGGAGGCTGGATGCCAGGAATCAACCCGGCCCAGCTCCCTGGGGCCTCAGGGGCCGGCCTCTTCTCTGCCTCCTCGTCTGGTGGGGCTCCGGGAGGCGTGGCTGTATCGTCTCTGTGCCCTCCCAGGGACACAGACAGGGGCCCTAATGCCCCGCCCAGGCCAGGTGGCGTCCAGGAAGAAGCCCAACATGCTCACCGAGGTCCAGGATCCGGTCCCCAGGCCGGCTCCACCGCCAGCCCTCCAGCTGCTGGTGCTCTGTGTACTGCAGCCGACGGTCATGGAAAACCACACGGATGATGCTCTGGCAGGGAAACAGGCGGGAGGAGCTGAGTGTGGGCACCAAGAGGAACCCCCCTCCCGCCTTCTGAGCCAGGGCGCCCCTCCTTCCCTCTGTGTGTCTCTCACAAGGACACCTGTCCCTGTGCCCAGGACACAGGACACAGCCAGGCCGAGCTCCTCATCCCATGCTTCTTAACCTACTTGCATCTGCAAGGACTCTTGTTTCCTGATTAGGTAACCCTCAGGTCCTGGAGATGAGGGTGCAGGCTTACTGGGGGGGCACCATTCAGTCCACTATAAAGGGTCTTAGTATTTTTCTCATCAGCTCTCTTTTAGCTATTTTTAAGACTGTTAGCCACTGGGTGTGTCCTAGCTTGTTTGCAATGTATATGTGTGTGTGTGTGTGTGTGTGTGTGTGTGTATGTATATAAATAAATACAGCTAGATTTCACTCCCCCAGCCCACGATTTTAGGTTCAGAAAGTCCTTCCCCACTGACTGTCCGATAAGTAGTTATTTACGTGACAATAAAACCTTGGGAAATCAACTTTTAAATCCAGTGGTAACTTGGTTTGATATCTGCTGTGAGGTGAGGGTCTGCATTTTGGAAAAAAATAGCTAATCTTAACAGGTGAACATTTGAACAGACCTGTACATGCAAACACACAGACGAGAGAGAAACCTGCAAACCCAGGGCAGCCTGAGCAAGGCCTGGGCTTAGTTAACTTGGTGCCACAGCCGGTTCCTGGTGCCACCACAGGGCACGCTGGCTGGGCACCAGGGCCTTTCTGTTCTATTTTTGTAATTTCTTGTAGACTATCATTATTTAAAAAAACATTTTTTTAAAACAGTGAAACAGATTTACCAATACCAACTATTAAATAATTTATTCTGTGATTTGTAAAGCTGTGACAGATGCTAGGGTGTTGTAGCGTTGTGGTTAAACTTACTTAACTTGGGAAAAGTGACATCATTTGATGTGTGGTCTTTCCCCTAGAAACCATGTGCCCTGTTATTCAGGCTATACTTTCTCTTCTAATGACATGTGTGCAGCTTGGTCATAGATACTTTCACGTTTTTGTTGTTATTGTGCATGAATCTCTTTTCCTTTTATACTCTAACCAGCTTGTGCTGGCTCCATGGCACCGGGCAGAATGCCCTCACCCTTTCAAATATGTGGAATTCGTTTAACTTGGTGAATGCTCTCACCTGCACTTAAGACAATGATTAACAGGCTTTCTCTTCTTTAGTTATTTAGTTAGACCTGCTGTCGGGAGGGGTGGTTGGCTGTTTACTCTGACGTGGATTTCGGTAGCTGCTCTCCATCCGAGTGTGTGGGGGACATTCTTTGTGAAGAAATACAAAGTTTTGTTCCATGACTGTAATGCTAACTATATCGGGTTGGATTCTGTTTCTGTGAAAATTATCGAGGTGCTGCCTCTCAAGGGTCGTGTGGTGTGTTACCTGGGGTGCCCTGGGCCCAGCCAGGTGCTAGACAGACGGGGCTGCCCGCCCAGGGGCCCGGAGCTGGCGCTGAGCTTTCCTCCCGGCCGCGAGCCTGGGTGGCGCTGAGGAGGCTGGAAGGCCGCTAGCTGGTGAGCCCCATTTGGAAACACTCAGAAATGGGAACTGTACTAACTTCCTCCAGGTCAGTCTTATGAAATTCGGCTGCTGGAGAATCGGAAGCTGGGAGACTTTCAGGATCTGAACACAAAGTACGTCAAGGTAAGTCTGTGGGGCGCTCTCCCTCCCTGAGGGGCCGTGGGGGTCTCAGCGCTGGGCGCGCTGTGGTGGTCAGGAGTGGCATGGGGGTTCAGGGAAAGCCCCAGAGGGAGGGGGCCTCTGTTCCCCCGGGTGCTCTCCCAGGGACTAGGAGAGGCCACAGCCGAGAGCCGAGTGGCGTGGGCTGATGGACGAGGCTCTGGGCTCCAGGCTGGCCACTCCCTGAGCTTGTCTGAGCTTCTGTTGGCTCATCAGCACAGAAGGAATGACAGGTAGCCGTGTATGTGAAGCACTCAGTCATCATGGACAAAGGGCAGGCAGCAGCCTGCTCGCTGCTGTTCATGTTGCTGGGACTCTGGAGGGAGTGGGGCGCCCCGGGCGGACCGGACGGCTCCAGGAGGGGCGACCTTGAGGGTGGGGGCGCCCTGGCTCAGAAGGCGGGAGGGGGGTTCCTCTTGGTGCCCACACTCAGCTCCTCCCGCCTGTTTCCCTGCCAGAGCATCATCCGTGTGGTTTTCCATGACCGTCGGCTGCAGTACACAGAGCACCAGCAGCTGGAGGGCTGGCGGTGGAGCCGGCCTGGGGACCGGATCCTGGACCTCGGTGAGCATGTTGGGCTTCTTCCTGGACGCCACCTGGCCTGGGCGGGGCATTAGGGCCCCTGTCTGTGTGAAACCCTGTGGGAGCTGGCAGTCCCCAGGCCTGCTGCCAGGAGTCCCAGGGAAGCTTTGAGAAGGATCATGTGTTAAAGGACTTTGATAAGTGGTAACGGAAAGGCTGGCACGCAGGTGGGCCGTGGAGACAGAAACTCGGGGGCTCAGGCAGGGTCCGTGTCCTCCATCCACAGCCTTTGGGCAGACGGGTTTTGGAATTCAGAGCTGGAGTGAGGCATTGGTGCGTGGACACAGCATCGGACATGCCTCCAGCAGGCAGTCGAGCACAGTCCTTTCTGCAGCAAATAACACGACTATTCACGCAGATTGGACCAAGACTCACAGCTTCATGGCAGCCCACGCCAGGCTTGCTGCCAAAGGAGCTTTGGTTTCTGAACGGCCTGGTTTCTGAACGTTTGGCATCTCCGTGGTTAGAGCTGGGCCTGCGATGGTCCCTCCTTCAGCATCGGCGTGGCTGACACTGCGCTTTGTGTGTGTGCGCAGATATTCCACTGTCTGTTGGTATCTTGGACCCCAGGGCCAGCCCGACCCAGCTGAACACAGTCGAGTTTCTGTGGGACCCTTCGAAGAGAGCCTCCGCGTTCATTCAGGTACGCGGTGGGGTGGGGTGGGCTGCCCGCTGGGGGATACACAGGCGGAGGGCTGCCCGCTGGGGGATACACAGGCGGAGGGCTGCCCGCTGGGGGATACACAGGCGGAGGGCTGCCCGCTGGGGGATACACAGGCGGAGGGCTGCCCGCTGGGGGATACACAGGCGGAGGGCTGCCCGCTGGGGGATACACAGGCGGAGGGCTGCCCGCTGGGGGATACACAGGCGGAGGGCTGCCCGCTGGGGGATACACAGGCGGAGGGCTGCCCGCTGGGGGATACACAGGCGGAGGGCTGCCCGCTGGGGGATACACAGGCGGAGGGCTGCCCGCTGGGGGATACACAGGCGGAGGGCTGCCCGCTGGGGGATACACAGGCGGAGGGCTGCCCGCTGGGGGATACACAGGCGGAGGGCTGCCCGCTGGGGGATACACAGGCGGAGGGCTGCCCGCTGGGGGATACACAGGCGGAGGGCTGCCCGCTGGGGGATACACAGGAGGAGGGCTGCCCGCTGGGGGATACACAGGAGGGGGGCTGTCCACTGGAGGATACACAGGAGGAGGGCTGCCCGCTGGGGGATCTGCTGGGGGTATGCAGGAGGGGGTGCCCCTGGGGGGTCCATGCTGGGTTTCTCAAACCAGCCCCTGCAGGTGCTGCTGGGCCCTGCCCTCTGCTGGGGACCAGGGGGTTGCAGGGGAGGAGTGTGCAGTGCTCATACCAGAGCTTGTTGGTCATGGGGCTGGGAAAAGGATGGGAATGTTTTAGAATCCTGTGTGTGGTTTGCTTACACTATGGAAGCTTTTTATAAAACAAAGTCTTCCCTAGCATATTTGAGGTAAAAAAACGGTCCTTAAGAGTTTCTGTTATTAAGTTAATTACTTAACGGTCAAGCCCTGTGTGTGGGTCCAGCTTCATGGTCAGCACAGCAGGAGACTGAGCGCTGAGGGCGTGGCCACACGCCTGCTGCGGGCCCCCGTGGCTCTCCCTCCCCTGGGGCCTTGGTAGCCTCTTCTCATCAAAGACCAGTAATGAATATAAGCCATCACCACAGTCATGGCCACACGCCTGCTGCGGGCCCCCGTGGCTCTCCCTCCCCGGGGCCTTGGTAGCCTCTTCTCATCAGAGACCAGTAATGAATATAAGCCATCACCACAGTCCCAGTTCATAACAATGGCTCAGGAGAAGTTAATGATCTTTTCCCCATGATTATAATACTCTTGTATTTTAAAGTTATTACCTTATTGTGTTATCATAGTATGTATTGTACTAAAACAAACAGCGTTATAACAATAAATACATATCAAGTGCCCTTCGTGTAGTTAGTACAAAGGTGGTTCCGGCCTTCTGGTCACCTTCCGGCCTGGCCCAAATAACCTGGATGCCAGGCCGTAGGGGCTAAGCTGCGCCATCGCCCCCACCACCCTGCTGCCTGTAACATTTGCCAAGGGAGGGTCTGGGGGAGCGGGGAGGGGGCGCCTGGGGTCAGCAGGCCTGGAGCAATGGCCAGGACTTAGCTGGTCAGGCAGGGCCTCCGAGGTCAAGGGACAAAGGTGGGAGGGCATGTCTTTGTGGAGAGGGCGGTGGAGAGACCACCTGCCCGGTGGCATGGGCAGCGCTGGGGGAGAGGGGAGGTTGGGTGTGCACCGCCAGGCAGGATGGGCGCCTTCCTTGGAGAGGAGCCCGCCTGGCCCCTCCCCCAGCAGCCCCACGTCTCCCCTGCCAGGTGCACTGCATCAGCACAGAGTTCACCCCGAGGAAGCACGGGGGAGAGAAGGGGGTGCCTTTCCGAGTGCAGATCGACACGTTTAAGCAGAACGAGAATGGGGAGTACACCGAGCACTTGCACTCCGCCAGCTGCCAGATCAAGGTGTTCAAGGTAGGGACGGCCTCGCCACGCCCACCACGGTCCATGCCCTGGGCACACCTGCTTCCACTGACGCCGGACAGCGACACCAGACATTCTCGCAGTGCCATGTGGGGGCCCAGCAAGGAGCCTCGACTGGGCTCCTGCCTGCGCCCCCGTGTCCTGGGATGGGCTCCTGCCTGGGCCCACCCCTCAGCTTCCAGCATCGCATGTGTCCGCGCTCACCTCCACTTGATAAGAATGAGTGCTTTTGCACATTTAAAAATTTGTGTTTTCCTACCAAGGAAACACTTGGACTTTCCCTCAAGGAAACACAGGGACTGTGCCCTCTACCTCTGTAGCTCATGGCTCCCACTAGCTCCCCTTTCTGCACCTGAGGCAGAAACTTAGCAGTGAGGGCCCTCCCACCAGGCCCCTTGACCGCACACCAGGTGTTTGGGGAACTGGGCCAGCCATGCCGCTGCGTGTCTGAGTGACCCGAGAAAGGCGTGGCACCTCCTGCCCCGAGGGGGCCCAGCGCCCACCTTCCCACGCCAGTCACAGAGGTGGTTCAAACAGGTGTTTGCACGTGTCAGGCCGAGTCCAGGCGACCTGTCCATTGCTCTCCCACCCTGGTCGCCCCCCTCCCTGGGAAGCACTGGCTTTTGGAGGCCTGACCTGGGGCTCTGTGTGGGTCTCGGGGCCTTTGCAAGGGAAGACAGGGCCCCTCTGGCCAGCAGCGCCCTGGGTGTCACCCGGCTGAGTGTGTCCCACACGCAGGCACAGCCTTGCTCTGTGTCTTCTGGGGAACAGGGCCTGGGGGCAGAGCAGGTGATGTGGGCTTGGCGGCCACATGCCTGCCCTCCCGCTGAACACTGGGCCTGTCCTTATGTCCCCGTATGACCCCCTGCAAGCCCGCCTCTGTGCCGTGTGGGCATCACTCTGAGCACTGTTTCCTAAAATCCCCCGAGCTGGGAGCCAAAAGCTGTGCCTGCGGAAGGTGCCCGGAGGGTGGAAATCCTTGAAGAGGCCATTGAACTGGAGAGTGGGTTTTGCTCACTGACTGCCCACTGTGTGTGGCCTGTGCACAGTGCTGCTCAGTCCTGGGCTGCTGGGTGCCTTGATATCGGAACTCGCCAACCCCACTGTGAGCCCTGGACGCCAGAGCCCAGCAGTTCTGTCCGCAGCCTGCTAGGGCCGGCTAGCTGGCGCACCCCCGCTCTCACATCTGAACTGTGACCTGGTCAGCACTTGGTTCCTCCCCTGTAAATGAGGGGATGAGAGTACCTGTGAGGATGGGACACCTCAAGTCCCTCAGGCTCACAGGCACCCAGACAGGCTGTCAGGGCAGAGACCTCATGTGACGTGTGAGCCTCGAGTGGCAGGAGTCCTGGTGTTGGGGGCCTTGGAGGCCTTCATGACGTGTCTGGGAGCTCACAGCCTATAAGCGTGGGCCAAACCCCGACTGGCAACCCCCAGCTCTCTTCCCTCCCCGTCCACGGCCAAGCCAGGGAGTGCATTGGGATTGTCATGGCTCTTGGGGTTCCTTTCCCCGGCATTTCCTCCCCCAGCCGCCCCCCGCAGCAGCCTGCAGCCCCGTGGCAGGCTGAGTTCCCTGGGGCGGGGAAGGGCTCCAGGCAGGAGGACTTGTGCTCGATGTCTGGGAAGAGAGAGGGGCTGTCCAGCCGGCCCACAAGATCCTGCTTGGGCTCCTGCAGGCTTCGTGGCCACCGCCCAGCCCTGGCTCCTCCACCGATCCGATCGCCATCCCTGCCTGCTGTGGGCTAATTGGACCCCTGTGCTCTGCCTTTGTAGCCGAAGGGAGCAGACCGGAAACAAAAGACCGACCGGGAGAAGATGGAGAAGAGAACTGCCCAGGAGAAGGAGAAGTACCAGCCGTCCTATGAAACCACCATTCTCACCGAGGTGAGCGGCCTGGCGCTGCGGGCGAGTCTCGGGGGTTCCCAGCTCGGGGAGTGCTGTTTTGAGAGCCCCGGTGGTGGTGGTGGTGGTGTGCTCTCGGGAGCTGTCTTCCTCTGACAAGGCCCCGAGGCCAGGAAGCGTTTCAGAAATAACTTGTAGTTGTCTGCACTTTTCAAAATCAGGGCATTACTTTTCAAAATAGGTAATAGGTCCCCAGTTCAAAAGCTGTAAGAGAATAGACATTAGGAAAGGTCCCTCCCACCGCTGCTCAGCCTGCAGTCCTCGCCCCAGGGCGTCAGCAGCTCTGGATCTGGCCCGACTTGCTCTGCCAGGGACTCCGGTCCGTACACGGGTTTACGCCAGCCGTGCACACAGACATCCTGGTCTGCAGCTTGCCTTTTTTTTCTTTTTTTTAAAATCTAATAGTGTATCTTGGAGTCTGCTCCCTGTCTGTTCATAGAGAGCTTTTTAGGTCTTTACCCCGCGTGTTGCCTTTGTCGTTGGTGGACATTGTTGTTCCCGGCTCTTGCCTCTTCAGACGGTGCCACGAGCCTGGTGCCCGAGGCGTTCTCAGTGGGAGAATGTCTGCAGCTCCCGTTTTCGGAGCAGCATTGCTGGCTCGAGGGTGTGAACCCTTGCTGGTTTGGGGTTTGGGTAGATATCAGAATGCATTTTCTCTTTTAAAAAAAAATATACTTTTTATTGATTTCAGAGAGGAAGGGAGAGGGAGATACAGATAGAAGCATCAATGATGGCAGAGAATCGTTGATCGGCTGCCTCCGGCACACCCCACACTGGGGATCGGGCCCCCAACCCAGGCATGTGCCCTGACCGGGAATCAAACCGTGACCTCCGGGTTCAACACTGAGCCACCACGGCCCCGCAGAATGCATTTTCTCTTAACCCTGATGCCAGTACCAGCCTGCTCCACCATCCTCTGTCCTGGGCACTTCTGAGATGCTCACGGTCACAGGCCTTTTTCTCCGGTCACAGGTCACTGCTGGTGTCACCTCTCTTAGTGCAGGCGCCATGATTGTTTCTACACAGCTGGTCCCTGCTGTGTTCTGCAGTCCGGTCAGTTCCTAGGTGGTGTTTGTTCACTGAGTAACTTGACCTATTCAGAAGGCTGCACAGATGTGTAAGGCCCGGCCATGGCCATGGCAGGGTTAAGGCTGTGTTAAGAGTGAGACTCGCCGAAACTGGTTTGGCTCAGTGGATAGAGCGTCGGCCTGCGGACTGAAGGGTCCCAGGTTCGATTCCGGTCAAGGGCATGTGCCTTGGTTGCGGGCACATCCCTAGTAGGGTGTGTGCAGGAGGCAGCTGATCGCTGTTTCTCTTTCATTGATGTTTCTAACTATCTCTCTCCCTTCCTCTCTGTAAAAAAGCAATAAAATACATTTTTTAAAAAAGAAAAAAAAAAGAGTGAGACTCAGGCAGAGTCTCTGAGGACTGGCCTGGTCCTGACTGACGAGCTGCCTGTAGATGTGTGTGTGTGTGTGTGTGTGTGTGCATGCATGTGTGTGCGTGTGCATGTGTGTGCGTGTAGTAAGCCACATGCAGAAGACTATCTGTAACGAGACAGCATGGGAGTTAATTTAATGGCAGAGACAGATGTGTGCTGGCGTTTATCTGAGGGTAACAGCGGCCAGAGAATCCTGCCTCCCCCAACCTTGCACCCCCTCCCGGCGCATGAAGCAGTGCCAGCCTGCACTGTGGGGCCAGCTCAGGCCCGGCTGGTTCCCAGGCTGAGTTCTGCCCGGGCTGCTGCTCTCCTCGGCCTCCGGGATAAGCCTCATTCGGCCTCTGCACCCCGCGCTCCTGTGGCTTCCTCGTGTGGACGGGCCTGTGTGTCATGCATCTTTCCGAGCCCTGCACAGTGTGGCGTGGCCGGCACAGCATCCCCTGGCCTGTGACCTAGTAAGGTGACGGCTCATTTGTATCTCTCATCAGTTTGTTTCTCTGGGGTTTACACCAGCAAACCCAGCCTCACTGAGAGCAGAGGTAAATATTCACCAGCTCTTGCGGTGGGCGACAGTGCGTCTTCAGGAACGCTTTAGACTGGCCTCTCCAAGGACGTGTCGTCACGGGGAAGGCAGGTGAGCCGTCGCTGGCTTCCCAGCAGGCCAGCCCCGTGCGTCTGCTTCCTCCGGGACCCTCCGCGTACTCGCCTTCGGCTTCTGCACAAGAAGTTCCTCGAGGTCGAGGGTGCGTCTGGTGCTGCTGTCTCCCTGAGCTGGGGCAGGGCGCCTGCGTGCCCTACACCCACAGGACGGAGCGGACGAGGCTGTTCCTGGTGAACGCGAAGGCCCTTCTGCAGGGCTTTTCAAACCGCAGGGTTTGATGCTGGGCTTCCCAGCGGTTTCTTGTTTGGGAGTTGTCTGGTCCGAGCTCCCTGCTTCCTGCCTTTGCACCCATCTGTCTGCCCCGGGACCTGCTGTGGGCAGTCGCCCGCTTTTGTTTTCCTCTCTCGTGGGCCCGGTCGTCATGTGGCCGATGGTGTGTCCCTGTTTGGTTTGACGACTAGGAAGCTCACAGAGACATGTGTCCACTTTGCTCCAGGATGACCTGCTGCGCATCTGGTCTCTGCTGCTCTCTCCGGTTCTTTGGGGTTGGGTGAGCCTCCTGTCCGGCTCACGGGGCCACAGGGTGAAGGCAGCCGGGTGTTGAAGGGTCCATGGGTTTGTCCGTTGACTTCAGTGGATGCTGCTCGGTGCAGCCCAGGCGCCGGCAGGTCTGGCTCCTCCTGGAGCCCTGTGGCAGTCACCGCTGCCTGCGCTCTCTCCCTGCAGTGCTCCCCGTGGCCCGATGTGGCCTACCAGGTGAACAGCGCCCCTTCCCCCAGCTACAATGGCTCTCCAAACAGCTTCGGCCTCGGCGAAGGGTATGTGTGACCCCCCCCCCCCC